CGAGTGAGTCCTTTTAGGAGCCTGCTGCACAAGACTGGATTGTTTCCAGTAGAGTGAATGGGAAGCATGTTCCAAGTGGTGTGTGTGCTGAGCCGTCATTTTTGAGCAGGGCACCACTGTTTCTGATTATGCCGTCGATATAACTCTGCCCTTGTTTTATCTCATATTACATTTCTAACAGGTTATTGTCCCAGAATTTTTACCATTCTGATTATCACCCTAGTTCATCTACTCTATTTTCTTATTTTATTGTGATTGGGTGGAAGTTTATAGAACATATTTATCTTCCATTCAAAAATTTATACACAGTTTATTTCATGACATTTGTTGACGTTTCCTCCGTGTAAGTTTCCTCTTCCCACATCTTCCCTGGGTTCCTCATTTTTAGTTATCATATCTGTCTTCTGAACTTAATTTTGGGGCAAATGTTACCTTTTTGGTCTTATGTGCTTGGTTATTTTGAGGAATACATTCGTGATGGGTATCATTATTCAGTTCCGTTTGTTTATTGTTTGGATAAAAATTGAACCTTCATTTCCAAGTTTGAAGGATCGAAGTCTCAGTGGTTCCAACAGCTTCTGTCAGACCAGTGTTTTTAAAAATGAATTTAAATTTTCCACATTTGCCCCTCCTCTTTCCAGGACCTTTTAGAGCAGTCTGGAGTGATAGATGGGCACCACCTAGCTCTTCCTGTCTCAGGCTAATGGAGGCTGTGGTTTGCCTGGTTCATGATTAGCTGTTTGATTAACTGTTTTTCTTCAATCCTTTTTGCTCCAACTATTGGAAACCAATGGTTGCAGCTTAGATTGCTCCCTGCAAGTGTCTAAGACTACAATTGCTATTCGCCAAATAGGATCTAGAACATTGTGGACTATGTTATGCCAACTGATGGAAATGCTCCTGAGAATGTTTATCTACATTTTAAAGTGGTTTTGCTTCATCAGCCTTGATAGAATCTGGATGAACTGGTTCAAAGTTCTGGTTAAAACCTCAAGGAATAAAGAAAATACTTGTCCTTACATGTGACAATCTCCTTTGACCTTTGGCCATTTATCTGACAGGAAACCAAATAAAACTTGTTTCCAACTGGTTAATTAGTTGCTATTTGAATAACAGACTCTGAACCATTACATATTACTGCAAAGTCCAAAAGGCATGTATTTCCTTTGGGGTCAATAAATAAATGGCTATGAAATTAACAGAGATGGAACCACAGTGAAGAATAGATTCACTTTTTTCACTTTATCCAATTCCTACTCTTTAGAACCCCTGATGGCACACTGGTTAGAGAATTCATGTGCTAACCGAAAGGTGTATGGTTCAAACCTATCAGCTGCTCCATGGGTAAAGGGGGAAGCAGTTTGGCTGAGCTTCAGGAGAGCTTTGCAGCCTTAGAACCACTATGAGGCACTCTTCCCTATCCTGCAGGAGAGCTACGAGTTAGGGCCAACCCAATGGCAGTGGGTCTGATTTATTCTTTTCTTTATTTTCTTTTTAGTTTTGCAAAAATAAAGAGGGAGAAAAGTAAAAAATTACTGTACTGGTTTTATTAGAGTCAATTCAATTGAAAGGGACCACAATTTTGTAGCAATATAATTATTGCAAGGGTTATGGACTTATTTTTTTTCCCCCTTAACACTTTCAGGTATGAAGAAATAGAATCTGGAGAAAAGGTACTAAATATTTCACATGTGGTTTGGTCAAAACACATTGACTTTCAGATAACATCAAATGAAACCAAATCCACTGTAGTGGAGTTGACTCTGAATGATGGCACCCCCATTCAGGTTTGTGAGGCTGTGAATTTTTGTATGAGGAAACTGTCCCACTTTCTCCCAAGGAGCAGCTGGTGGATTTGAACTGACCACCTTTCATTTAGAAACTCAACACATATAAGGTATTACCTACATCCATTCCCAGGGCTCCTTTCTTTGACCAAAGTGCAGGTCACCACACTGAACCTGTGGCCTCTGACCAGAATTTCTTTCTTTTTTTTCAGTTCAATGAAAGAGACTTTATTGAGGGCCAAGGGTCATGGGGCTCAGAAGAAGGCCACTTGCAAGAGGCAAGGGAGCCAGTGAAGAGGGGGCTCTTTGACTTTCTTCTTGGGGCGCAGGTTGTTGGTGTGCCCATACTTCTTGCAGCAATTGACAGCACGGGGATGCAGGTGAGCATAACACTTGCGGCAGATCATCTTGTCGCAGTTATACTTCTGGGCGAGCTGGCACAAGGAAGGCTCGATAATGCCACCACGCAGACGCAGCACCAGATGCAGAGTGGACTCTCTGGATGCTGTAGTCTGAGAGTGGACGGCCATCCTCTGGCTATTTGCCCGCAAATATCAGGTGCTGCTGGTCAGGAGGGATGCCCCTCTTGTCTTGGATTTTGGCTTTGACATTCTCAATGGTGTCACTGGGCTCGACCTCAAGAGTGATGGTCTTGCCAGTCAGGGTCTTCACAAAGATCTGCATCTTTGCGTCTGCCGCTCGGCCACCTCGGCGAAGAGAAAGAGGGCGACCTGACCAGATTTTT